CATCATGTCCTCGTTCTCCAGGGAGTGGTCCAAGATTGCTAATAAACTTCAACGAGGTTTTATCCAGGGACGCCAATTTGGGACCAACATCGTCGAATTGGACGCTGTTGCCAGATGTTACTCAATGGTCCCTTCTGCAGGCACGGACCTGCCGCTCGTTGCCTCCTTCGACTTTGCGCAGGCTTTCCCATCGATCTCTCATCGGTGGATGCTGCTGGTCCTCGAAGAAGTCGGTCTTCCACCCCCGCTGCTGGCTTATATCGTCTTATTGTACCAGGGGGTGATTTGTTACTCGGAGTTTGGAGGTCTGATTTTGTTTATGTTTCCTATCCTTGCTGGAATCATCCAAGGGTGCCCTGGCTCGGGAACGTTGTTTGCGGTTAGCATGGAACCCTTTGTGGCGGACTTTGAGTCGACGATAGAGCAGAAGCATCGCGGGATAGTCAGACTCTGCGCTGATGACATAGGCACGGCCCTCATCAAGCTGCAGTACCTTGTGCAATTGTTCCGCATATTTGGCCTTGCGGCCCAACTTGCAGCTCTGCATCTGAATTTATCCAAGTGTCAAATACTTCCCCTGGCCGGCCCCATCTCGGACCCGATCAAACAGCTCTACAGAATGAGGTTGAAAGCTCTTATCCCGTCCTGGTCCGCCTTCGAAATCGTCGAGGTTGTCAAGTATTTGGGTATGTTTATCGGGCCCGAGGCAGAGCAGCACTGTTGGAGGAATCCGCTCAGAAAATGGCGCCACAGATCGTTCGAGCTCTCATCGGTGGGTGCCTCGAATGCGATCGCGGCGAACCTCTACTCTTCACGGGCATCATCGGTGATGTCGTACATCGCTCAATTCATTCCTGCCCCGCACGAGCTTGCCCGCCAAGAAGCAGCTATGTTATCCAGAGTCTTTCATATGCCTTATTGTGGGTTTACTCATGGGGCGTGGTATAGATGGCAGGAGTGGGGAGGTCCAGGGATCCGTTCGTTGCCAGTCATTTGCATGGCGGCGAGAGCTCGTGCGGCTATCTCGACCTTTGAATGGCGCAAGTCACTGGAGTGGCTCCAACGTGCTGCTGTCCGTCACCGTCCATACGTGTCGGTGCTGCGCCAAGAGTATTCGCCGCCGTGGTGGAAGACCCCAGCTCTGTGCCAGCACATGTCTGACGCGTTCTTTGGTCTCCATTTCCCAGATAGGCAACGAAACGAAATGCTACCCGTGATGTCCGAGGTACGTGCTCTTCAGGTTCAACATCTTCAGAGCTCCGTGAGAGGCCCCCGTCCGAAAATCCAACGCATGATTGTAAATAAACTGACTAACTGTATGTATAGCAACTCGTTAGGTGATTTGTTTTCCAGACGTCTGTTAGATTTGCTCCCTGAGGAGAGGGCTCGTATCCTTACTGTTGACTGGTCTGCTGTTCAGACCGCTCTTGCTTCCTTGCCCGTGGCCCATTCGGCCGCCGCTGCTAGGACGCTCTCGAAGAACTGGCTGACGCAACGTAGGTTCCAACAGTCTGCGAATTCACACTGTCTCTGTGGGTGCCCCCCCGAACTAGGCGGTGAGGATGCGTTTGCACACTACTGGAATTGCCCCATTTTCGGCACGCTCCTTGAGACTTTGGCTGGCCCCCTCGCCCCGCTCCCTTTGGACCGGTTCGGGATTATGGCACCCACTGAATCGTCTCTCAGAGTTCCTGCCACTGCCTATTTTCTTTACAACGAGATTCGGGCAATGTCCTCACGTCTCGGCGGTCGACCGCTGGAGTTGAACGAGGCAAGGGATCTCGTCCCCACGGTGCGGCACCAGATGCTGCGCTAGGACTTCGAGGACCGCCCCCCTTTGGCCACGCTGCAGGAGGAGGAGAACGGAGCAGGAAGAGGAGCAGGAAAAGGAGGAGGAGGAGCAGCAGGAGGAGGAGGAGGAGGACGACGACGAGGAGGAGGGCAAGGCGGTGGAGGACAAGGAGGAGGAGGAGGAGGAGGAGGAGAAGAAAAAGGACACCGAGATCGAAAACGGCCCCACCGAAATGGGCTGTGGCCCCAATCGCTTTCGGATGGGGCCCACTGCCGAGCAATCGCTGGCTCTCGTTCGTGTGGGCCTCAGCGAGAGGCTCGCGTGCTGTTGAAAACTTGACGAGGCGTGCGCCTCCACACCCCGGGCGTGCACACGCAGTCAGTCATCGGCACTGCAGTCCAGGGCTGGACCTAAACGGTGTTTGGGCGCTTTCGTGGGCCGCTTTCGGTTCGACTTCGTTTTGCGGTAGAGACGGACTGGAGACAAAACGAGGGACAGCGAAAGCAAAACGGAAACGTACAAAACCGTTCAGGTTCAGCCCTGCTGCAGTCCGTGTGACTGCGTCGGCGGCTCCGCTCGCGCAGGAGGTGAGAGGCTGGGCCCGCGGAGGCTGGGAACGTGCTCCGCCGGGAGGGGTCCGGGGGGCCGAGCGGGGCCCGCGCAGCCAGTCCCCACTTTGCCACGAAAGAGCGCGGCGGTCGCAAACGCGCAGGCCAGCCACCACTGGGGGAGCTGTGGTCCTTACCCCCCTGGGGGACCCATCGATTTCGACACCCCTCTCGAGAGATCGTCGATGCGATGGGTTCCCCCAGGGGGGTAAGGACCACAGCTCCCCCAGTCATGGCTGGTCGGACATGGATCGCGACGGGTCCCGTTTCCACGGGAAATCGCGGATTTTCGCCGCCGAGCGAGGCGGCGCTGGCGCCGGCCGCAGTCTGGGGAGGGCACCTCCCCCGATCCACGGGTTTGGCGACCGCGCGCCAGATCCATGGATCGCTAATCCATGCTTGCGCGCCCCCGAAGAGAGCGCAACGGTCGGCCGACCAGGGTGCCTGCAGTGGCCCCGCGTCCCTTGGCGGCTGCTTTGGGTGCACCCGTGTGCATGTGCCCCCCTCTGCTCCTTCCAGGCAAGTGCGAGGCCACGCCTCCAGAACAGTGGCAGCCAGGCTGGTACTCTGCACGGGCCGCAGGGACAACAAAGTTGGTGCCTTCTCGTTCGGCGGTCGACGTGTCAGGATGCGCTTTCGTGCCGCCTGTGGCTGGTAAGTCGGCCGCTTCGGTACCCGAAATGTTCATTGCTGGGAGGGCGACTTCGTCGGATTGGTGCGCCTTCACATTCACAAGCGAATGGAGAACATGTTTACCTCTTCGCAACTGAACTTCACACCTTCGCGCTGCACTTACCTGAATCTGCTTTACCAATCCACTGAAATGGCGGAGAGGAGGCTGATCACTCGCATTCTCACCAAATCCGTTTACCACGACTTGGCAATTGCTGACAAGCATCAGGGGGTCCTGAAAGGATACAGGCCGCACTAGCGGGGCCGCGAACTCCGCCGTCACACTAGTCAATGGAGCCCTCTCCAAGATGTGCCCATTGGGGCCGACCCAGGCCGCCCCCCCCTGCCCAAGTGTGAAAGATCCTTGATCATCGAACGCAAGCACCAGCCACCCACACACACACAGTTCCCTGGAACTCTCTCGCCCTTTCGAGAGGCAGACTGAGACCTCTGGCTTCCGAGGTTTCGGGAACCACCTGCAACGCAAACCAATCCAGAGCCTCATCTTGGCTCAGGGGCCCTGGGACCAACTCCGAAGGGCGAGGAACCAAACCCGTGTCACACCAACCCACACACACACACACACACACACACACGGCAAGCACGGGGCCTCGGCAGGCTGGATCGCATTGATGAAACCTCGAGGGCTTCAGACGCGCTGCGCGTGAAGAGCGTGCAAAGTGCACCTTCGCAGACGCTTTGCACGCCAGGGAGGGCAGGGAGGGATGATCCATCCATTTGGCGTCTCGAACCTGTGTCACACAGCAAGTTGTTGAAGTTTTTGATCGAGGGGCTAGTCAGCTCTGCCCTCGTCAGCAGCCGCTCGCCAAGGGCCTCGACCCGAGCCTCCTCAGTGGGTGGGCGGTGCCACTGGCGGTGGAGCACCATGTTTCTTTCCTGCTCACGCAGGGGTCAACGGTCCTCGACTAGATACCTTTCGGCGAGGGGTCTGGTCGTGGGCCACAGAAGAAGAGGAGGAGGAGAAGGAGGAGGAGGAGGAGGAAACTGAGGAGGAGGAGGAGCAAACTGAGGAGGAGGAGGAGGAGGAGGAGGAGGAGGAGGAGGAGGAGGAAGAGCAGGAGGAAGAGCAGGAGCAGGAGCAGGGCAGAAACAGGAGGAGGAGGAGAGGAGGAGGAGGAGGAGGAGGAGGAGGAGGAGGGGAGGAAGCGGAGGAGGAGGAGGAGGAGGAGGAGGAGCAGGAGCAGGAGCAGCAGCAGCAGCAGCAGCAGCAGCAGCAGCAGCAGCAGCAGCAGCAGCAGTTGGAGGAGCAGGGAAAACGGGCAACATGGAAGTTGAGGAGGAGTAGGAGGAGGAGGAGGAGGAGGAGGAGGAGGAGGAGGAGGAGTTCAGGAGGAGGAGGAGGACGGGGAGAAGGAACAACGGCAGGAAGAGTGCTCAGCAGCCGCGTTTCGAGAGTTGCCGCGCGAGAGCCCGACGTTCGTGGGCCTCGTCCTTCGTCCCTCCTCCCAACCAGTGCTGCCTCCTCCTGCTTCTCCTCACCCTCCTGCTTTTCCTTCTCCCCCCACCTCCTCCCTCCCTCCCTCCATCGCGAGGCGAATCCACCCGCGACGACGAGCGCGCCTCAGGAGGCCCAGAGAGGCAGGCATTATCAGACAACTCACGGCCAAAAAGCCACCCACGACCTTTGATCATTGATCATCGTTTCTCCTCCTCCCCCTCCTCGTCCTCAGCGTCCAGGGCCCTTCATTGTTTGCAGTCGAGTTTTTTGTTGCCCGACAGGGTCCTCATGTGGCCCCGCTCTTGTTCGAACGTCAGGGCAGGCATCAGTTGTTGCTCACGTGGTCAGTCTCCCCGTGCATGGCGGGACCTGGTAGGCGACACGCCCCCGGCAGTGGTTTCCTCGTGGAGCCCTTTCGCGACCCTTCGATCCGACCCGATCCTCGTCCTCCGCTGCCGCGCGCCGAGAGGCGCTGTGCAAGGACCTGACGTTCGTGGGCCTCGTCGCCAACATGGACCCCGCGCGCAAGGGGGTGGACCAGGCGCCGTCCCTTTTACAGGGGGGGGGAGGGCAGGGGACCTTCGACCAGACCGGAGCTCGCAGAATACTGAACGGCATAAACATACCTACACGACCACCCTTCGGGTGATCAGGAGGTTGCGGGGGAGGAAAACCCACTAGCAACAATTGCGATGACCGTGATGGCGATGAGATGGCGACATTGCACGATGACGCTCATGGTTAGACTGAATGCTGGTGTTTGTAATCGATCATGAGATCCGTTGTGATCGATTTCATAATCGATCTCACTATCTCTACCACAACAGATCCCACTATCGATCTCACGGTCGATCTCTCATTATCGATCTCACAATTGATCTCATCATCGATCTCACTATCGCTCTTGATGTCGATCGCACTATCGATCTCACTATGGATCCCACTATCGATCTCAAGATCGATCTCACAAGTGATTTCACGATCGACCTCACAAGAGATTTCACGAGACACCATCGGGACACCACGATGGGGCACCCCCAGCCACGGCGGGGCACCCCAGTCAAAGATCTGTTGTGATCAATCTCGCTATCGATCTCACTATCGATCTCTCGATCTCACGATCGATCTCACGATCCCGATCGATCACGCAAGCAATCTCACTATCGATCCCATTACCGATCTCACAACTGATCTCACGAGCTACCACTGGTGACCTCGGGCGACCTCCAGAAGGCCCACAGGTCGAAAGGACCGAAGTAGATCCTCGGTCCTCGATCCCTCCAGGGCACTCCCAGAACCCGATGCGCCTGCGAGGCCGTGCTGGACGCTATCGGCGGCCACATCCGTGTCATTATGATCACTGGCGACTACCTGAAGACCGCCGTGGCCATCGCGAAGTCCATCAATATCTTGGACAAGAACGACGACGAGAGCAAGGAGGGGCAAAGGGGAGGAGGAGCGAGGAGGAAGAGGAGGAGGAGGAAGAAAGGAAGGAAGGAAGGAAGAACAGAAGGAAGGAGAGGGGGAGGGGAGAAGCTGGGGGAAGGGGGAGGAGGAGGAGGGAGAGGAGGAGGAAGGAGCTAAGGAGGAAGTAAGGAGGAAGAAGGAGGGATCAAGGAGCTGGATGATGGAGGAGGAGGAGGAGGAGGAGGAGGAGGAGGCGGAGGTGGAGGAGGAGGAGTAGGAGGAGGAAGAGGAGGAGGAGGAGCAGTAGGAGGAGGAGAGAAGAAGAGGGGAACTAGGAGGGATGAGGAGGAAGAGGAAGAAGGAGGTGGAGGATAAGGAGGGAGCAAGAGTGTCACCGACCTCGCCCGACACGGGAGGCAGAACCAGTAGTGGAGGAGGGAGTATGGAGGAGGAGGACGAGGAAGGATGTTCAGGGGGAGAAAGGGGGAAGGGATGTTGCATGCGCAATGGTAGCAATCTGATCAGATTCGTGTGTATGTAACACGACTCACACGTTTCAATTTTACCAGTAGATTTGCGTACTCATTGACGTAATGCGCACGTGTGTCTAAGATTCATGTTGCTGTCCTTTCCATACAGCTATGTGGCTCATATGTGAGATGAGAGATGAGTTGGTATATGCCCTGCGTGGGAACGGGTACTTATTTCACTTCAGTTTGATTGTTGCATGACAGGCGCATAAAGCCCTCAATCAACTGAATTCCCAAAGTTACGGGCCATGCTGGAAACGCCAGCAGCGCACATGCAACGACGGTGTGTCTAGGCCATTATGTGGACAGACCGCGAGGTGTCGGGGTATCCGAAAGGCAGAAGATCGCCACCACCAGGGGTACCTTTGTTGCTTCTACTTCGGCCCGACTCGTGTCTCCGCAGAGCAGCTCACGCGTACCACCAGCGCAACTAACAAGGCAATTTTGACGAGGTCTTGTCGGGGGGGGGCTAGGACACCGCTCTGGGAAGGCCGCGGCGCCCGCCCGTGTCGGGGGGATGCCGCTGGGAATGCCACCCAGGGGGCCCCACTGGGGCCCCCAGGCTGGGGGCCGCCTGGGGCCGCCCCAGGCTGCCCCCCCCGTGCCACAAGTCGGCGGACCGCCTCCGGCCAAAAAGAAGCAGGAGGATCCGAGGAGGGCAAGTCTCGGGTGTTGCTGGAAGTACCCTTGGCCCAAGGTGCCCTCAGGACTCTCGGAGTGGCCCAGACGGCCTTCAGGGCACCCCTCACGAGGCCCAGAGGGCCCCAGGGGCTCCAAAATGGAGCGAAAAGCTGGGGGCACCTTGGGCCAGGGGCACTTCCTCCTCCTCCTCCTCCTCCTCCTCCTCCTCCTCCTCCTCCTCCTCCTCCCCTCCTCCTCCTCCTCCTCCTCCCCTCCTCCTCCTCCTCCTCCTCCCCCTCCCCCTCCTCCTCCTCCTCCTCCTCCTCCTCCTCCCCCTCCCCCTCCTCCTCCCCCGAAAGTCCTCTGCGGCTGGCCGGGGGCGTCGCCAGCGCCGGCGCTCGAGGCCGAACTCCCGCCGGGGCCCGCTTCGGGTGGCGAGGGCCCGCAGATCGGCGGCGCGCCCAGGGGGGAAGCTCGACGTGGTCGGGCGCGCGCGTCGGCTCCCAGAGGTCTTCCCAGCCTCGGTGTGCTTGCTGGCAGCTGCGCCTCGTTCGTCGGGCGATCGCAAAGGGGGCGTGGATTAGCGACGGGTCTTGTTTCCATGGGGAAATTGCGGATTTCCGCCGCTGGACGAGGCGGCACCGACCGCATTTGGGGGAGAGCACCTTCGCCGATCCATGGATTTGGCGACCGCGCGCCAAATCCATGGATCGCTGATCCATGTTTGCGCGCCCCCGAGTTCGGGTTCGGGGGGTGCCCGGATCGCCCCGAGGGGCCGCGCGAGACAGGAGTTAGGACCCGAAAAGCAGTTCGGCGGCGCGCCGAAGGGGGGAGGCGAGAGGGTCTCAGGTCTTCTCAGAAGGCGGCAGTGCTTCCTCCAGCCGCCCGAGAAGCCTTCTGTGGCTTCGGGGAAGCCGCAGAGAGCTTCTCAGCAGGCTGCAGGCCTGCCGAGCCTTCTCAGGAGGCCCGCCCCCTCAGCCTTCCGACTTTTCCCTCCTGGGCTCGCCGCCAAGCAGAGGAGTCCCCACGGCCCCAAAGCTGTTGCACGGACGAGGGTCGAGAGCCTGTTCGACAGTCCACGCAGCGGCAGAAAACAGAGCCGGTGTCGTCATGGCAGGAATTCGCTGTATTGCCTCTGCCTCTGCCTACAGTTGGCTTTGGGCGAAGCTGGGGAGTCGTTGGCAGGCTGTTGACTGTGGGTCGCTCCGCCCGGACGGCAAGAATTACATCTCAGACGAAGCTATGGACGACCTCACCAACCAAATGTGCGTGTTCGCGCGCGCCCAGCCTGAAGACAAGTTGCAGATCGTGAAGTCCCTGCAGCGCCAGAAGAAGGCCTGTCTCCTCTACGATGTGTCCTTCTCTCCTGGTGCTCGCATGGGCTGCCCCCAAGGCCGAGGTATACTATGTCAGGACCGCCGTCCTCCGAACGGAGCCTCAAAACAAGTTGGATGCCCTTGGGAAAAACTCGGTTGAGTGTCCAGGCCGCCTGGATCTCCTGCGTTTCTTCTCGGCGGCGCGAAGAAGAGATGGGGCGAGGGGGGGGGCCTTCTAAGACGGGCTCCTTAGGAGCCCTTGGGCTTCTCTATGAAGCCCCCATGCCTTCTTAGCAAGCCGTCCTCCTTCACCCATTATCGCTCAAACTACGTCAGCACACGCGGCGCTCATGAGGCAGCCACGGTCGGCCACAGCATCCCAGATCAGGGAGCCCTCCCCATTGTTCAGAAAACAAGCCGGGACCCCCAAGCGCAAGCACCGTTCGGGGTAAAGACCTCGAGAGCGGAGGAGACGAGCCTCCAGCGTGGCGATCGAATATCGAAGCAAATCAAGCGTTCGGTCCTCCGGGGCGGTCCTCCCGTGTGTCTGCGGCCCCCCTCCCCCCCTCTGCCCTGCTCCGATGAGGACCGAAGGTCGAGGTCCTGGGGTTGTCTTGGCTCGGGGTTCGAGTTCTTTCGACCTCGAGAGGCCTCCAGTGACCTGGAGACTTCGTCGTCGTCGTCCTCTTCCTCCATTCCTTTTCCTCAGAAGTACTCCCTGTCCCACCCCGAGGCCAGTCGGAAGGGCGGCCTGGGAGTTTCGCTTGAGCCTTCTTTTACCATGTATGGTCCTGAAGCTTGAAATTTGCAACAGTTTCAGGAATGGAGGGCGGGTGGTTGTCAAAATGTGGTTCTCGCCCTAGCGTCGCGCACATTCGATCTGAACATTTGCAAGAGTTCCACGGATTGAGGGCGGGCCGTTTTCAAATTTTGGCTCTCGCCGTAGCGCCTCGCACACTCGTCTGGAACATTTGCAAGGGTTTCACGGATTTAGGGCGGTTCCTTTTCAAAATGAGGTTCTCGCTTTAGCGCCACGCGCATTCGTTTTAACATCGTAAGAGCTTCACGGATTCCTGTGGCTCACGTACCAGAATTGATGCTCTGGACGTTAAGGATTGCCAAGGCGCAGCAGTTACGTTCATTCGCGGTCGTGAAGTTCCGGGAATGGTGTTCTGCTACGATTCAGAATCCTCAAGACGCAACAGTCAGGTTGATTCGTGGCGTTGGAGTCCCGAGAATGGTGTTTTGGCACGCCTCAGGATCTTCAAATGGTTGTCTCCCAACGGGCCGTTTCCTTCAGTGGACATGAATCTTTGTAGGTGCCTATGGAGAGGGAGTTTGAGGGAAGAGTTGATTCCAACATTTTTGATGGGTCTTTGGTTTACACTGGTCCTCCTTCTCCTTCTCCTCTCCCTCTTCCTCCTCTTTCCCTACGCTCCAACACCTCACTCTTGAACCTGTGGACGCTCCGACGTAGAAGCCTCGAGATGCAAAGACACGTAGTGCCGAGGTTCCCCGATAGGCTCGTCTGTGCGATTGAGCCGCGGAGGCGGTCCGCAGGAGCTTCCGATGCGGAGGGAAACATTTCGACGATTGGAAGATGGAAGGAAGCCGCTCTTCCAGGATGGAAGTCGAGCCTGCGCCTTGGAGGTTCTGGATCCTCCTCCAGCGGAATCGGCAGGATCCCTAGCGGAATCGGCCCAACCCCTCCCCAAAAAGTTGGCCCGACCGAGCTTTCGGGCGGAGGGGTTTGGGGAAGGGGCAAGTACCTTACACGCCGAGTAATTCCCAAGGGATGTGCCGATTCTCAAATGGCGCCGCGCGCACGTACGCGCTCGCGCCATAAGAAAAGCTTACTGCTCACCGTATATCATCGCATGTTGAGTCCCAGAATGCAAGGGCAACAGTTGGTTTTCACCATGCAGTTTTAGACGTGGAATTTGGCAATTGTTCTTGATTATCATATGTCACCTCGTTCGCGGGTCCGCGCGCATCATAAGAACTGCTCATGGCTTGACGGCATATATATATATATATATATATATATATATACGTATCGGAGTAGGGCCCGGGGGCGGCCCGGGGCGCTGCCAGTAATCTCCATGGGGGGTGCAGGGCGCCCGCGGGAGCGTCCGAAGCGTCCCGGAGGGCCCCTGGGACCGCCAGGAACAGTTCGAGACCGCCCAAGACGGCCCGCGAGCGCTCCAAGACGCGCATAGATAGCCTCAGGAATGGACAGGAAGGCCCGAAGACGTTCCAAGAGAGCTCCATGAGGCCCCGAAGGCATCCCAAGAGGCCTCCCAAGAGAAACCCGACAAGCCAAAATCGTTGATTTTTATTGTTTGTTTCGAGGTTTTTGGCCTTCTCGCTTTTTCGGGGTTCCGACGCTCCAAGACCGTCCAAGACTTTCCCAAAACCGCTCCAAGAGGGCCGAAGAGGCCCCCAAGACCGCCCCCAGACGGCCCAAGAGACCCCCAAAATCGTCCCAAGACGGCCCAGGAGAGCCCCAAGATGGCCCAGGAGCCGCCCAAGACGGTTCCAGGAGAGCCCCGACAGGGCTTCAAGACTGCCTAAGCGAGCCCAGCGGTCCCCAAGAGGGCCCCGCGAGGCCCCAAGAGGCCCCAAAGAGGCCCCCAAGAGCCTCCCCGGAGGCCCCCAGAGGCCCCCAAGATGCCCAAAAATGGCCCTGAGCGCGCCCCAAGACGCCTCCAGGAGAGCCCAACAGGCCTCCGAGAGGCCCCCAAGAGGCTGGAGGCCCTCAGGAGGTCGTCCCCATCATGTTCCCGGAATTCGGTCCGGGAACATGATTCCGCGCCTTGGAGGAGTATTCTGCGCTTTCCGAGGCGCCTTGGACGACGTACGTATGTTTCTATAGATTGTCCTTCTCCTGTGTACACAATCCTACATGCTTTACGTATGTTTCTATGTGTATAAGTATATATATATAAAAATAATAAATGGGGAGGGGGTCCTGGACCAGGGGGGGGCCTCACTTTGCCCAGTGGCTGTGGTCACCCCCCCGCCAGAGACGCCAGGACGCTCCCAGGACCCTCTAAAATGTCTCCAGGACGCCCTCAGGACAGCCCAAGAGAGGTCCGAAGCGGCCCGGGAGCACTCCAAGACGGTTAAAAAGCTGCCAAAGCGTCCCAGCAGGTCTCCGACAGCACTCCCGGGAGGGGCCCAAGAGGAAATTGTCACTGATTTTTAGTGGGTTTTGAAGGGTTTGGGCGTTCTCCCCAGTTCGGCTTCCAGACGCTCCAAGGCGGCCCAAGAGGCCCGAAAGATCGCCTCAAGACGAGCCCAGAGGCCCCCAAGAGACCACCGAGACAGCCCAAGAGGGCCCCAAGACGGCCCAGGAAGCTTCGAAGACGGCCCCAAAGAGCTCCCAGAACACTCCAAGAGGAGCCCCAGATTGGGAGCACGAACTGACATTTCGAGCCCTCGCCCACCAGAAGCTCCCAAGAGGCCCCCAGGAGTCCGCAAGAGGCCTCGAGAGGCCCCCAGGAAGCTCCAAGAGGCTTCCAAAAGGCGCCGAAAGGGCCCCGCAAGGCTTCCAGACGCTGGTGATAATGACAATGATGATTATGCAGGGCGGCCTCAGGCCCACAACCTAAATCCACAATACTGCTCACGCGGCATGCAAGACGCTGCGGAGATATCCTCGAGTTTTGCGGGGGAGCTTCGGAGACGACGGTGACGAAAATGATGACGATGATGACGACTATTATGAAATTGACGACGACGACGACGACGACGACGACGACGACGACGACGACGACGACGACGACGACGACGACGACGACGACGACGACGATGATGATGATGATGATGATGATGATGATGATGATGATGATGATGATGATGATGATGGTGGTGGTGGTGGTGGTGGTGGTGGTGATGATGATGATGATGATGAGGAAGAATATTATGTTGATGATGTTGACAGTGGGAATGATGATGATGCTGATGATGATGTTGATGATGGTGATCGTGATGTGAGTGATGGTGATGATGATGATGGTGGTGATGCTGACGATCATGATGACGATGACGGTGATGCCGTTGAGGATGGTGATGCGGACGATCATTATGATGATGCTGCTGATGGTCAGGATGATAACGCCGATGCTGATAATAATGGTGGCGATGCTGTTTATGGTGCTTGTGAAGCAGGAGTGGGCGGATGATGAAGATGATGACGATGATGATGACGATAACGATGACGACGATCACAACGACGACGACGACAATGATGACGATGGCGATGATGAGGATGATCATGTTGATAATTCAGGTGACGATATTGACGATGATGACGACGATGGCGATGATGACGATGGTGATGACGATGTTGCTGCTGATGGTGGTGATGGTGACGATTGTGATGATGGTGATGGTCATGGTGATGATGACGATGCCGCTGACGATGACGCCGGATATGATGGTGATGAGGACGGCGATGATGACGATGACGATTATCCTAGCTAGAACTTGAGCGCGCGCGAAGCGCGCGCGATGGTTCTAGTACATATATATATATGTAGCATCCAATGTTGCGGCCCAGGTAACAAGTGAACAGTTGTCATTCACCGCTCAGCTTTCGACATTAAGTTTGCCATCTGCTGTTGGTTTTCATGGCACCGCGCGCAAGCATAACCGTTCGCTGTTTTCAGACATCTACCGTCACATGTTGAGGCCCAGTGCACAGTAGCACACTTAGTTTTGACCATTCAGTTTTCGAAGTTAAGTTAGGCATTCGCTTTTGAATCTCACATGGCGCCGCGTGCGCGGGCACGCGCTGTCAGAATGTGGCGTTCCGCGGTCGCGCGCGCGCGCGTTGGTGATGGTGACGCGACGGCACGCGTGCGCACGCACGCACGCCTGCGTGCTCTTCGCCCCCCAGTGCTCCCGTGAGACTGAGACCTAGGGAAGATTGCTGGAGGGAAGGCCTGGGGAAGAATCGGAGTTCTGAGGCCTCAGGGGCTGTGCGGCAGTGGGCTTGGGGCTGGGGTGGGCAGG